GAGAAGGTTAGGCTTTAAGATGATATAAGGCCAAATCCTCAACCTTGAACCTTCTCTTGGCATGTGCATCCACAATCTTAAATGGGAACTCGTTCTTTCATAGTTGATCCACTTGAAAGAGAAATGCACATGAGCCGAGAGAGGGCCCCTGCATTCACAAGAGTGGATGTCCACGGGGGTGCACCTGTTATCCACTGTTACTTGAGAGTCTTGAGCCAAATATTGGGCAGACTTTGATAAGCCAAACATGAGCTGCTGCCATAGACTCTAGGTCATGGGCTTGTTGGGTCATTATGAGAAAGTTACTTTGGATTTCAGGTCTGGCCAAATAGAGTTACCCAATTTATATCTATAGGATCCTAATTTCCCTCATTAATATTTGTCTATGATGCCAAACTGAATAAAAATGGAGTGTGCTTTGGAGAATTTTTGAGAACTTTTGAGAATGTTTCTGAGTTTTAAGGAGCAAATACTGGGTACTTTTGAAATTGTTTTGGAGGAAAGACAGAGGACACACCCCCTAGACTTAACATGTGATACCCAAATGGCCAATGGGTGTTGTGTGGGGGCTGATGTGGCTCCACGTTAATGCCACATGGGCATGACATGGGGTTGACGTCAAAGCCCATAGGGGACTGTTTTGTCATTCTGTAATTTGTTAAATTGTGTTATGCTTTATGCGTATTTTGAGAAAATTGAGAAATGAGTTTGAGCACATGTTTCTTATGGGCTATTGGTTGGTTGTTTGCACATGGGGTGATCTTCTAGAAGGGGTGTAGGGTTTGAAATTATCATTGAAACCCAAAGTCCTTTTGGAATTAAGCTCATAACCGCCTATCCCATGTGACATCATATGATTCGTTGAACATGCACCCTAGATGAGATAGAATTGGAGGGAAGTTTCAACTTCAAATTTTTTCTGCAGACTTGCGTAATTGAGGGGCACAGCCATACCTAGGCTTTCTCATATTATTTAATTGAGTTAGCATGGGTAATTATGGTAACAAGTTGAATTTGATGTGAATTTGAGTTCAAGTTTAACGATTGGAAATTTGGAGTGCATTTAGAGATTATTAGGAGGATAATAGTGTTAGATCTCATCCACTCACCATGATGGCATGATGAGTGATGAGTGGAAGGATCAAGCCCTCTCTCATGCCGTGGATGATTTGTGTCAATGACCATTATTAACTCATCTAGAAGCATCTACTACACAAGCCTATAAATACCCCCTCGATCACCCATTTGGACACTTTTGTCTCTCATGGTGTGGCACACCCCTTAGGCTTCTTTCTCTCTCTCTCTCTCTTCGTTTGATTATGTTATTAGTGTGAGAAATAAAGGAGTAAAGAGTGGGAATTTATTGAGCAGAAGTGAGATTGAAGCTCCATTAAAGCTTCATCTCAATCTTGGAGGTGAATCCCTACCTCCATAGTGATTCAGTTTTTGGAGAATTCATCATCAAACCATGCATCATTGGAGTTTTTGATGGCTATAAATCTTCATTTACAGCTAGGTATCATAGCTCGTTAACTTCTTGTTTTATAATAATTTGGGTTTAAACTGAACCTATAGTATGTACCTTTGATTCCTAGTTTGATTACACTTTGGAGAGAATTTAATTGAGTATTCTTGAAAATTTGTGGAGCGATTTCTCTGCAACTTTTGGATCCAAATTAGTCAATTAATTCACCTTCTTAATGATTTGTTTCGATGAAAGTTTAAGGGGTAGTATGACGAAATTTTCCAACACCTATACTACGTAATTCTTCACCAAATAACTGGAGCCCCATTTCTCCCCCATTTCTCTCTCACTTTTTGATCAAAGTTCTTGAGCCTCTCTTTTGTTGAAAAGTTTCACAAAGTGTAATTTATATGATACTTAATTACTTCCATAATTGGCTAAGATCTTCATGCTTAGTGGTTATTTCATGATATGCAACTAAGTTCTTGGCCATAACTGGGCACAAAGAGCTCGATCTTTGGCTTCCCATGATCAAGATCTTTTTTCATTGTGTTTGTATGTGGAGATTGAGTTTATGGAGTATATGTAATTTGGAAATGATGTATAATTTGGCATTTTATTTGAATGAGTGCTGAATTTTGTTGCACTTGAGTTTTGTGTTGATTACACTGTACAGTCAATCTCCTTAAGTTGTTTTGGTTGGACTTTGTAAATAGGGACCAATGTAGAATGTGTATGGACATGTATAATGTGGCTGTAATTCATTTGTAAGTGGCTGCAATTGAAGGCAAAGTGGGTATATGTCATGTAATTGAGTTGTATTCGGGCTTTGAGGGACTAATTTTGACTGAAACAAGTGGTGGATCTTTACCAACTTCAAAATCTTGGATCTTAGGGAAGAAAAAAGAGGGGCAGGGTACCCTTCATTCTGTTATTTTCCACATAACCAAATCGCCGACTGTTCACCCGTCTATTCTGTAATAGAAGATAATTCCACAGAAGCGGCACAAGCCTTTGTTGGTAGCCGCAGAACACTACTTTAGTTTAGTATAGTGGCGGAGTTCATAAATAGGTGGTTTGTTCTGTTCGCCTTTGGAATGGATCTGTGGAGTTATGATGCTGATACGCTAGAAACTCATATCGGAGAGCTCACGATGCGATGCAAGCTACACCATTGTGTAGTCCATCGTAAGATAATTTGTAAAATTTTGTAACTTGAACTTGGTCTCATACTATCATTATGCATCCTTCAAATAGCAGAGAATCACAATTTTTCAATGGTAATGGTGCACAGGCACATAAAGTGAAGGCATATGTGCTGATAGACTTATTTTTAGTGCTTGTTGAACATGCACATGTGCCTTCAATGATTCAATCATATAATAGTGACAAACAAAAATTGAGAGGTAATTGTTCCAGAGTCCTATAATGTAGACAATTGCTGTTACTAGTTGTCAATTTGGAGTAGTTACTTTTGTAAAGGGTGCTGGAGTTCCATGTCCTTTTTTTTACTTTTTCCATTTTTGTTAAACGGCTTAAGTCTTCTGCTGATTTGGCATTTATCTTTGACGTTGCTCCCTAAACTCAGAAATTTTGCCTAATTTCAAACCTAAAGCAGTTTACAACAACAAGATTATGAAAGTTCATTTTTGACCTTTAAACAGAGTTGCACTACCCAAATTAACCCCCCCTTTCCCCGGGCCGGTGGAAAAGGGAGTGAAATTGAACTTTGATCTGCCAAAGGGAACATAAGGCTCGTGAGCAAAAGATGGAGTTCTTGCGACCCATTTTGCAGGACACCATTATCCAAGACTGCTGGCTAATTCCTATGGTGGATTATTTGGTTGGTTGTTGTGCTTGTGTCAGGCTTATTTTGTACCCATATTGATATGGATTCTTCTGTTTGCAAACAGAGTCTGATAGTCTCTATGTTGAGGTCAGCATTTTCTGATGCACTTTGTACGAGGTCCGTGAGCTATATCGTTGAATGATTAGAAAAGCAAGAATCATATACAGCATGAAAATTAGATTCACAATTTTATTCTACTTTCTATGTGGTGAGGGTGGAAGTATTCATACGTGAAACCAAAGTTATACTCTATGCTGTTACATTGCTCATAGTCTCAATCTTTGAATTGCAGCATTGATGACAATCCCATCCACATGAATTGGCAGCCTTATCAATTAAATGACTCAGGCCTTTGCTATAGCATTTGGCAGAAAAGGGGTAGTTGACTGTTGACTCCTTGCCTCAAGTCATGTGTGCTTTTTGGTTAGCCTTTAGGCATCCATTCCCAAGAAGCCTTCAGTCCATTCCCAAGAAACCTTCAGTCATCCATTCACAAGAATTGAGAAGTAGACTGAGGTTGTGTGCTCCCTTAGCTATCTTTACCAATAATCTCTGAAGTTCATCCTCCTATAGCAAATTCTTAAAGCTCTTCTTAAAGCCCTATTCACCATGGTCATAGGATTTTATCATGTCCATCTATATGACAATGCTCTAAGCCTCTAACCATCTCCTTGTATACATTTGACTGCCGAAGCCATATCAAGGACAGACCTCCTATAGACCAAGCACCTTGCTGTGGAAATATGATGTAGTCCATAACATTCCTAAGTCTTGGCAAGTTCTTTTGGCTAAAAACTTGCACATGGTTCCTGTCAGGCTGATTGGTCTAATGATCCTTTAGGGCTAGATTGGACCCTCACTAGGATCTCAATAACGATATTTGTGAATGGGGTTTACTTATGAATAAGGGAATGGGTTATTTATTTATTTATTTATATTAAACGGGCGGGCCATTGAAATTTTCGTTCCAAGTAAGCAGGGGGCAGAAACAGGATTTACTCATGAATAGCTGGATAAACAATGCTTAAAACTATTCATGAATAGCTGGATAAACAGTACTTAAAACAATTCCTGAATAAATATGTAGATAGCATAACTTGTTTATAAATTAGTGGTCCATCCAGACTGGCCTCTGTTTTTCTCATCTCCTTTGATCTTGGGATAAAACCATGGTGGGTGACTTTCTATTCCACCACTTGGTGATATGGATAAATAATTATTTATTCCTGTTTTCTTATCCTCTACTTTGGGATAACTAAGTTGATTTATTCATGGTTTTAACCTTGTATGGAGTTTCTAATCTTTTTATCTTTTATTGTTCAATGTGTAGCCTTGTATTAATTTCCTTTTTAAAGTTGGCATGAGCTTTCTTCAGCTATGAAATTGAGGGAGGTCAATAAATTGGCTTGGGACTGCTGCTGATTTTGCATCTCATATACATTGGGAGACATTTTATAGCAAAAAGATGGCTCTTTTTATTCTCGTAGTTATCAAAATACTATTATTGTCCTTTGTAACATGCTTCTGTTGTGTTTAATTGGAGGGTTGCAAGCTTCAAGTTTTCCTTTCATATTGCTTCTTTAACTTGAGAATTGGAAGTTTATGATGTTCTTCACAGACTTCTATTTAGTATAAGTCTATTTCATCGTACTTTTTTTCATCCTTCAGAATTCTGTTTCGCTGCAGATAGTTCTGGAATCAAGTGGGGGCTCAATTTGGCAGATGGCAGCAGAACCCTGGGAGGACTCACTGCTTTCTTCAAAGCATTCCTCGCAAGTTGCAATAAATGGGAATTACAGTCATAGGGATAGTGTGGGTGATGACGATGAAACTAAGGATAGTGATGATGACGACAATGATGGTGGATCTGTTAAGCTTCATGATGAGCAAACCCATTCGAAACACCAACGATTTGCTCTTGCCTGTGATGATGGTTGTGTACGTATATGTTCTCCCTCTGAGTCAGACGAGAGGTTAATGGTAGTCCGGTTATTGCCCAGGGTCAAGGGTGAGTATACATATGATTTTGTAGTTTTACTAGAAAATATGCTGTTTTCTATGTTACTTGAAAATATTTGTTGATTGGCAGGGAGGATTTTAAGTGTTGCGTGGAGTCTTGATGCGAAGTTTATATTTGCTGGTGGTACAGATGGGTATGTTTTCACTTTACATAAACCAAGCTTCCTGATTGTAATCTGTTTTGTAGTCAATTCATGAGTACAATCGATGGGGATTTAGAAATACTACGGTGAAGTTTCCTGTGCTTATATACTTCTTGTCAAAGAGAAATAGCTCAAGGGATTGATCGTGATCCGTTTTTTACTTGGTCACTAGGATTCTCAAGTGCAAAATATACTGGAATTCTATCAGCTTTATTATGAGTTCCTCAAGTTTTGTTTTGTGATTACTGTTGCACCTGAAGTGATATAAATTGGAAGGATATTCTGATTTTGTCTGGCTTTTTTTGCTGCATTTCATTTTTGCAGTTCAATAAGATGCTGGGATGTCATATCTGCTCGTGAAGTTTACAGGATCACAGCAGGGATTGGAAGGTCTGCAAGTGGGACAGAGCTTTGTATATGTGCGCTGCTTGTCTTGAGGTGAGCTGGCTAATAATCCTGCTATAAATTTATGATGAAAATGCATAGGGAAAACATTTCATTTATGCATCACTGGCTCTATTTTCTTCTTTATCAATGTCCTATTTTCTTCTTTATCAATGTCCTGTTTTGTGTTTTCTGATCTCTGTAACTACGGTGTCTCAGGGGGGCCACACTTGTAAGTGGAGATAGCACTGGTAGTGTTCAATTTTGGGACAGTCGTAATGGAACTCTGGTGCAAACACACTCATGCCATAAGGGTGATGTTAATGCTTTGATAGCCTCTCCTAGTCATCAAACAGTATTTTCTGCAGGATCGGATGGTCAGGTTTGTTGCATGGGCTTCATGTATATGCATTCTATCATCAGTGGCTAAGTTGTTTTTTGCCATGTTGGTTGCTTGTGAAATTCATGCATCTAGTATATTTTGCATGAATTATTACCATTTGCAGACCACTTCGCCATTTTATGGTAATGTGATGATTTTCTTTGTGGTTGAGGTTTTTTATATGATATTTCTCTCCCTTATTGTGGGAATTGTTTGCTGATGATATCTAGTGCATGTATGCACAGAGCTTTGCAAGATGTCTTCTAGAGAGTATTCATGTAAAGTTTGTTCATGATATCCATTTTTTAAATATTCTGTATTTATTTATTTTTAAAATAAAATATATCTTTAGATGCACCTATGGTGCAGAAAAAATGGGGCTGCTCAAAGAGAGAATAAAGCGAGGTGACATGGGCTCGGAAATTTTTGACGTTAAGGTGCAACCAAACATACAATTTTCTTCGTCTCTACAAGGGCTCTTCATACTTTTAGGTTGCAATTTCTTGTTCTTGAGCAAAACCAGATCTTTTCGCTCACTAGTTACCATTCCTCTGCTATTACAAAACCAAGCAAACTTCAAGCATGATGTTCGTGGTGGTATCTATCATTTCTTTCAAAGGGATAATAGATGTTTTGAGTCTCTTGCTTCTCACTTTTTTCTGTTTTCTGAAGAAAAAAAGAAGATCTTCAAGCTTTGCAGAATAACTGCTTCAGCCAGATGGTTCAAAATCCATTGTTAGGGAAACCAATTTACCTCTTCTGTGGGGCAGGACCTGGTTTCTGTTTCCTTCACTAGTCGGGGTAGCTGGACTGGGTAAAGGTTTGGTTCAACCAAAATGGGGTCAATCTATTATCCACATGGTGTTCTGTTAAATAGAAGGGGCTATTGAATCTCAATCTGTTGTGGATAGGAATCAATAAGACATGGATATGGCATTTGGTCATTGGCTGTACCTTCCTTATGATCTTAGATAGCTTCTGCCGTTTGTAGTCTGGGGTGCCTCTTTATGTGATGGCCCGTATGTGGTTGCTGCATTAACATTAAAGCACAAAGGGCTCTGTCCTTCTTTTTCAATACAACAGTTAACATTATAAAAAAAAAACATTAATGCACAAAGGGAAGTATGTACCCACTGTATAAGAACCTCTTGCATGTATCTAATCATGTATCTAGGGGTCCTAACGGGTTGGGTACGGCTGGACCCAGACCAGACCCAGACCCAAATAGTATTCGGGTCCAGGTTTTGGACCTGGACCCTACCCGTCAAGTCCAAAAGTTGGACCTATACCCGTAACTGTCGGGTCCCACGTCTGGTCGGGTCCATTACCACCCTCACTATGAGTTTTTTTTTTTTTTTGACCTGGTTTTACCATCATATACCATATTATTGGCAACAAGGTCACAATCACCCGCCATTCGATTTCAAGCTCTCTGACTTGTTGTTTAATAGCTAAAGATGACTATAATTCTTGTTGTATACGATCCTTAATACATCCAAACAAATAGGGCTTGAAGTATTTTATTTCCAATAGTTTACGGGTACGAGTCGGATCCAACCAGACCCGGACCTGGACCTAGACCCGGACCCGAATGGTATTCAGGTTCAGGTTTTAAACCTGGACTCGACCTGTGGGGTTCAAATGTTGGACCCATACCCAGATGTGTGTTTGGTACCCGATGGGTCCTAAGTCTGGTCCGGGTCCATTGCCACCCCTACATGTATCTAAAGCTGTTTTGATTGGAAACACTATATAAGTACCTCTTGCATGCATGGTCCTCCTATGATTATGTGTTTGTTGGTGATCACGCTTAATTAGAGCAAGCCACTACTATAGCTCTTGTTTATTATTCATTTATTCCGCCCCTTGCCTTTTCATCTTTAATTCATGAGCAATGTCAAATATATAGCTTATCTTTATTTTTTCTTCATAGTATCTAATCTTTTAATTCCTATTCCCAGATCATCCTGTTTAAGCTTTCGAATGGCTCATTGGGGTCTGGTAACAATGAAGCTGTTCCTGATAGAATTGAGAAATGGGATTATGTGGATTACAAAAGGGTTCATACCCATGATGTTCGTGCTCTGACAGTTGCTGTCCCCATCATTGTTGAAGGTACATTTTCGATCAATACATCTGTATTTCTTGGCACTTACACCTGGAACTTGGGATTTTATGCTGAACTTGATGATTATGCCTGGTATGGGAAATTAATAGTTTTCTTTTGTTCCATGGTTTTAAAAGGGACCCGGAATCAGTCAGCTACTGGGCTGATACCCTTATAGAGCTGGGACTCGGCCTGTTTTTGAACGGGACTTTTAAAAAATCCACCATTTTGTACATTTTCGCTCATATCTTGGTCATTTTTCCTGAAATTTAGCCCTTAATCTTTAACTCTCTGCCAAGGTTCAAAACATTGACTCGGCCAAGGTACTCAGGCCCTGGCAGAGGCGATGTACTCGGCTGAGTCCGAGTTCCTTGGCCAAGTCAAGCTCACATTTTTTTTAACAAAAAATCACGCAAAATAATTAGATATATATAATGAGGCGCAGCTTCTATTCAATGCACGTCCGCTGCCGTCGTGGTAGCATGCCCGCGCTAGTCATGCACCCCCAACAGGATGTGGGATCCAATCTCCAAACCGTTTTTGTTTCTTTAAAGCAAAATAATTTAGAGCAAATAAAGATTATGTTGTATATAAAAATGGAGGTACTATTGCAACTACAGCTACGTGGCAAATGGGTTAGTACCCGTGGTCTTGACTTCTAGGTTGTGAGTTCCATTTCTATCTGTGGAGTATTTGTTTTAACTCTATTTTTCTTAGTGCATAAATTTATTTTGGAGTTTTTTTTTTTTTTTCATGACTCCCTTAAAAAATATATATTTTTACTCTATATTTTTTAATGGCTTGGATTTATGTTCTAACTCCTTTTTTATTAATGGCTTGGCTTTTATTTTAGAGTTCTTTTCTCCATAACTCTCTTAAAAAATATATTTTTTAACTCTATATTTATTAATGGCTTGGATTTATTTTGGAGCTCTTTTTTCCATAACTCTCTTTAAAAAATAATCTTACGTCTGGTGAGTCTATAAGAGGTCTTGAGTTCGATTGGGGGGCTAAATTTTTTTTTTTTGAACTCTTTAAAAAAAAATTCTTACATCTCGTGAATTCTAAAAAAATGACCCCTTTTTTTTTCATAATTGGTACTTTTTTTGGAGCTCATGTTTTTTCATAATTGCTACTTTTTTTGGAATTCTTTTGATCTTTTTGGAATTCCTTTTATCTTAACTCTTTTTTTTAAAAAATCTTACATCTTGTGAGGTCTAAAACCCCTAGAAGTGATGAAAAATGCACGCGCACTCTAGTAAAAGTGACATTGATTTTTGGAATTAATTAGTAAAAGTGACATTTATTTTTGGAATTATGACTAATCTTAATAATTTCTCTTGTTCACTGAAGAAATAATAGATTTTATAATGTTTTGATAGTTCATCGATATTAACTCTATGATGCACCGAATTAGTCAATAAATCAGCAAAGAAAACCACGGATCTATAGAGGGCTTTTGAAGATGACTTCAAAAGCTTCAAAATAAACTAAAAATCATAAAAAAATTGTTGAGAAATTTGAGACAAATAATAGATTTTGCAATTTTTGACAGTTCATCGGTATTACCAATTTGATTCAATAAATCAATTAATATTGGAACAAAAAAAACTACGAATCTATATAGGACGTTTGAAGCTGATATCAATAGATTCGAAACAAATAAAAAATCATAGAACATTGTTGAGTAATTAGGGAAAAAATAACAGATTTTGTGACAATTCATTTATATTACCTCTATGATGCAATAAATCAGCTGATATTAGAGTAAAAAAACACGAGCAATATAGGGGTTTTCAAGTTATTCAATATCTTAAAAAGAAATTAATAGTCAGAACATTAATGTTGATAAATTAGAGAAAAATAATAAATTTTACAATTTTTTGATAGTTCGTCAATATTAGCTCTATGATGCACGAAATCCGTTAATAAATCAGCAAAAAACCACGGATCTATAGAGTGCTTTTGAAGATAACTTCAAAAGCTTCAAAATAAACTAAAAATCATAAACAATTATTGAGTAATTAGAGAGAAATAATAGAGTTGGTTATTTTTTCACAGATTATCAATGATACCTCTATGATGCACGAAATCAGTTGATAATGGCGAAAAAAAGCCAAATATCTATAGAGGGCTTTTCAAGCTGAATTCAAAAACTTCAAAACAAGCCAAAAATCATGTGATTTGGTGTAGAAATCAGCAAGAACAGAGAGGTTTGGCAGAAAAAATCAGTCATTCACATACCAAAAGATTAGGGTGATATAACTTGATAAATCTACAAATCAGCAGAGGGCTTTTGTAGATAGCTACAATAGATTGAAAAAGAACCCATAATCAATAAATTTCGTGGAGAAATCAGAGAGAAAATAAAGGATTGGGGGATTTTCTATTGCTGCACGAAGAACCCTTAAAAAGCACAAAATTCATAGTGATTTCTTGTTCGATTTGGGTATTTATAAACCCAAATCGTATCATACAGATAATATTGATGTTAAAAAACATAAAGGATCCAAAAATCCATAAAAAAAAGTCCAAGATTTCGATTTTTCCTTTCAAGAAACTTTCTATACGAGTTTCATCCGCTAAATGCGTATACGCGGGCGAGTTTCATGGTTTTCGGGGTGATTCTTCCATTTTTACACCGAGTCCTATACAATCATGGCTAGAAATGTACTTGTACAAGTGACTCAGGGCTTCTCGACCTCGGCAGTAGGTCGAGGCCGAGGAACTTTGCCGAGTCTGTACACTATGCTCTCTGCCATCTACATATCTGCACAAATGTTTTTCTATTGGAAATCCCTTCTCATCGAAATCAAGCGCTGAAAATTTGGGGATTTTTGAAAATACTGAATTTATGGCTTTTTTATTATTGTTTAAATTGGTTTTGGAATTGTTTAAATTTGATATTTTTAAATCATGTTTGAAGTCATATTTGATTTTATCAGATTTGAAATCATTTAAATTAGAATTTCGAGCGTTTCTGGATTCTTTAGATCATATTTTGTTTGTTTTGTCTTTGAAAGTCCGGATGATCATTTTATGTTTATCAAATGGATGCAGTGTCACATTAGAGAGAGAACAATTTAAAGTTTAATAAATATGAAACAAAAAGAATAAACATCAAACAAACATGATTTAAAGAACAATATGCCATAACTTATTGTCTTGTGATTTAAATTTACATACCGTAACACAATTTTACTTACCCTTTTTTTTTTATTTAAACAAAGAAAAAATAGTCTATTTTTATCATATCATTTTTGTTTAATGTTTATCAAATTTGATTTATTGAATCAGATTTAAATCATTTAAATATGTGATTTTTCTTTTACCCAGAACCAGGGGATGTAGATCGTATTGGTGGATTCAAATTGGTCCATTAAGGGGCCAATTAGGGTCCTGATTTTTTTGTTTTAAAACCCTGGATTGTTCCTTGTTTATTCTGTTGTCTGACAGGATTTATATTGTAGCAAGTTCATGATCTTGCCAATAGTCTTTTACTCCTTTTTTAGGATTAAGAATCAGCACCTTCAGGCTTTCCATTTCGGGAAACTAGAGGACTGCCCCCAATCTTGTTTATATGAATCAGGACAATTTTTGTTTAGATGGACCACGATAAACTTATTTTTTGTTGAATGTTACTAAAATAATGACTTCATAGATGTTAATTGTTATATTTATTTTTTTAAATTTCTTTGTTTATTTTTTACTCAAGTTAGTGTCTTAATAAATTTTGAGATTTTATGGATGCATATATTTCCCTCGTTTGTAAGCAACTGCTGGACCAGTTAGTCAAGAGTCCGAGTTCATGAAAATACATTTTTCTTTAATAATCACTAATTCTTGTATTGTTTTCTCTGTATTGCCAATTTTACATTTACAGATAAAATGCCTGAAGAAAAGAAAAGGGCCCGTGGTCCTGAAAAACCACTAGATTTCAGTTATTGTAAATGGGCTCATCACGGAGTACCAATGCTGATTTCTGGTGGCGATGACACGAAGCTCTATGCATACCCTGTCAGCAGGTTCTTCAAGTATAATCCACATGATATATGCCCAGCTCCTCAGAGACTCTCCATTCATTTGGTGCTAAGTTCCTGTGTGGATGGGGCTGCTGTTATTTTAGTTCAGTACCCTGACCATTTGGATGTGTTACTGGTTCAATTTGAACTTGCTTTAAAACGGGGCAAGAGAAAATCTATGGATTCTGAAAGGCCTCCATTGACCCAGTTGCTGGCCAGAGTTAAGTGTAAAGCATCTCAAAAGATTATCTCCAGTGCGATCTCGGGATCTGGGGCTTTGATTGCTTACTCTGATCATGTGAAGCCTAGCCTGTTTGAATTGAAAAAGCCTTATAGCTCAGGAAGTGGGAGGAATGCATGGGTCATTGATAGGAGGCAACTTCCTCGAATACTTCCTTCAGCTCATTATATGGTTTTTAATGCTGATTCATCTATCTTGATAGTTGCTGGGCATGACAGAAAGATATATGTAAGTGTTTCCATTGGTTATGATGGTTTTGTGCTTTGTATAATAAGATATGGCTGGATCATTTTGGATTCCCTCTCTTAGGTTGTGCATGTTCCTTTGTTGGCTGGTATTCTTGAGGATCCATTGGACTGCATTGTCTCAGTCTCCTATGTTAAAGTATTATTAATGGTACAAATTTGATGCCTATCTTTCTGAGACACATCTTGCGTCCCTCTCAGATTAGTGATCCTACATTTTGGGGAACTGTGTTAGGTGTTGCTTTCTCTATGAAGGCAAAAAAAAAAAAAAAAAATCTATAGGGGGTTTCTTCATCTCTCCTTGCCAACAACTACAGTTATTTTGTTGCTTTGAAATATTACCTTCTTGACTTATCAAGAAGAAAAGAAAGGAAAAGCCTCTTGGAATAGGAGGAAATTGTTTGTTTCTCCTTAGGAAGTGTTACATGTAAAATTACCCAATAACTAGAATTGTATTTTCTTTGTGCGTTACATTATAAAAAATTCTAAATTTTTATAGCATGAATGTTTATTTATTGCTTTCAGATATCACCTTCAACATATTGATTTAAATGCTTTTATTTCTTGTCTCTGCTAGTATGCTACAATTTTTTGTTTGAAGTTTACTACAACAAAGATCTTTTGCACTGAGAAGCCCTTTTGATATACTTAGCCATCTGCAGGTTCTATGATGGCTGTCTAGCTGAAGCAGATTTGTAGGGCTCCCTATGACTTTTTTTATTTGATTTTGAAGTAGGTTCTAGTATTTTCTATTTGATTTTGAAGTAGTTTCTAGGTCGGGATCTGGAATTCACTGGACCTGCGATCCATTTTATCTGATTTACATGACTGTCTAGATGCTATCCAAAGGTCATGTCTTTTTACAAGAAACAGAGGGATATGCCTCGCTTTTTTTTAAATAGATCCTAGGATTCTACGTCTCTTTTAAACTGTCACGAATTACGAGCTCTCTCTCTCTCTCTCT